CCCCCCCCCCCCCCTGGCCAAGCGGGTCCCCAGATCAAGCAACCCCCGGACATGCCACTGCCCGTGGCTTGCTTGAGCCGGGTCGCCCGCGACACGCACCGCCTTGCGGGCCTTTCACCACACCCGCCAGCCCGTCCAGCCGGAAGGGGCAGCCATCGGCCCGGGTGCCGGCCACCAGGCAGGCCGGCCACCAGTGCCCCTCCGGGCCCGCTCGACTGCCGAGCCCGGCTGGATGACCGGCAACGCTGGTGCGGCCGGGCCGGGGCGCTCCCGCCCGGCAAAGACGCCAGACCGTGCCGCCGGGCCCGGCAGACGAACGGCCCAGCCTCGCGACCCCATCTCCCAGGGCAGCTGCCCGCATCGGCCAGCACATGGCCGAGTCTCTCGTGCGCCTCGAGGCTCCCCCTTGGGCCATGTGGCTTCTCGCGCCGCGCCTCCGGACACCGCGACGAGCACACGGCGGACAAGCGGCCTCGCCCGCTGGTGGCCGCCGGGCCGTGCCCACCATGAAGGGCGCGTGCGGGCCGACCGGCGCCCGGGCCCTCGCGCGGCCGACTCCACCCTCGCCTGCGGGCCATCGCGCCGGGGCTGCATGTGCACGCGGCCCAGGTCGGCCCCGGAACAATCGCCGGGCGCCCACTCAGGCATCGCGCGGGGCCGCACGCCAGCAAGCGTGGCATCCCCCCTCCGGCCCCCCCCCCCGGGGAGGTGTCTTTCGCACGCTTCGGTCCGAGCGGCGGGCTTCACACCCATCGGCCGTCGGAGCCCAAACACCGGACCCCGCCATCCCGGCGGACGATGGCCCGGCAGGACACCCGGCCCATGCTGCCGGCTCCCGATGCTCCAGCCCTGCGTCCATCCGCCCCTGGCCCCGACAGTGGACCCGGCAGACGCGCAGCCGGCACCCACCAGCCTGCATGGGTGCCCCTCCTCGACAGCCGCCTCGGCATCCGGCGCCCGCCGGGAACCGGACAAAAGACTTGCCTCAGGCCTGCCCCACCACCGGAGGCCCCATAGCTCAGTTGGTTAGAGCGTCGTGCTAATAACGCGAAGGTCGTCAGTTCGATCCTGGCTGGGGCCAGCTATTTTGGCGCCGGGCGCCCGGGCCCACGCCCACCCAGATCTCCTTCGGCGAGAGGAGGCTCCGGGTGCGCGCCCGTCGACGGCGGGGGGGGGGGGGGG